CCATTTCACCGTCTCTCAGATCCTATTTTATGGACTTTTCAGGACATGTTTCTTCCACTCATGGATATTCTTTCACTCGGATCCTTAATGCTGTCAGATAATGTGTACAAAGCTCATGATTTGGCACAGACCCTCTGACGGAAAAAGCATTAGTGATTAGAGGAGAAGATATTCACTGAGGTCATCCTAACAAAAGGAAAAGAGATGTGCTGCTTTGAAGGGGGAAACCAGTTTATAGTACAGTGGACACAGCAAAGAGCACTCTCTGTTAGAAAAAGGAGAAAGGGGGAAGGATATTATTACATGCTCTCTTCCGGCTATCTGTCCTGACCCTAAATGGTCACATTATAATGAGGTGGTCTCCTGATGCTGGAGTCCTTACAGAGCATAGTCCTTACCAAAGATCAAACATTTTCTGCAAAATCAAGAGACTACATTCAAGACACTATGGTTTAAGAGAGAGTCATCTGTCTTTGGGCGGCAGTAGCTCAGTCTCAGGAAATTTCCACTTCCTGAGGTGCTCTTGAGCAAGGCACCGAACCCCAAAAAACTGCTCTGAAGCGCTTGCTGTGGGCAGCCCCCCTCACTCTGACACCTCTCCATTAATGCATGTCCACAGTGTGTGTGTGTGTATTTCAGCCTATGTTTGTGTAGCATGTTCATTGAACAGAGTGTAAAACTCAATTTCCCCTCACAGGATTAACAAAGGATAAATTATTATTATTATTTAATGCAGAATCTGTAGGCACTGGATCTGATTTTGGTATCAGAAGTGTGCTGGACTTCACTGGTAAACATCTAGCATCATCAATATTTGGGGTACTAGCTGTATACAGAAAAAAAAGAGCATTTTTCCCTTGGGATTAATAAAGTCATTCTGATTCTGATTCTGAAAAAAGGGGGAACATAATCTGCTGTAATGAAATCCCAGAAGAGATATCTGCATGCACTTGCAGCTTACAACCTGCTCTTGGGCATCTGGTGACAGCAGTAGCATTCTTGCTTCTCAAGTTGTTAGTGGGGCATGATACCAGGCCATATGACAGAGTAAGAAATCATACGATAAAGTAAGAAGTTTGACAATACAAAAGTATACGACTCAGCATGAAGCCAGGCCATATGACAGAGTAAGGGCGCACTCACACGAGGCCATCTTTACACGTCACCCTTAAAGTCCACTGCATTGACCAGTGAGTGCTCCAAATGATACGATCAAACAAGGCATCATAATGCACGAAAGAAGTCATCTCAGCGGGGGATTTTCATACGTATATAAATACATGCTGGTTGATTTTCTATTGGTTGAATCAGAAAGTTTGAAATTGCCTTTTTTTTCTTACCAGAATCCTTTGCTTTCCCATGAGTGAGTGGCAGATCACTGTTAGGTATCTAAAAAAGGGAAAAAAAGGCAAAGAGACGTGACCATTAGAATGAGAACCATCAGATGCAGACATGAACCTGCAGCGGGCCTGTTTTCTGTCCCTGAGGAGCTTCATGTTTAAACAGAGCAGAGACGAACATTCATGACACTACACACTCACATCTACACACACAGTGCTAAACAGAGGATCAACCGGGTGATGTTTTCATTATGTAACATTTTGTGTTTGGAGAGAGCAGTGGGCCTCTGTTCTTTTTTTGGCAGAGGGGGGCCATGGCAGGGCCCCAGAGAGTGTTTACATTTCTCTCAGGAGAGCGAGCGTCAGCGTATCTTGCGGGGAACAATAAAAGAAGTCCGGGGCCGGGGCCTTGAGTAAACACATTAAGAAGAGCGACACGATGGCGTCACGGGGACCTGAGACCCCCAAGATGGGAAACGTTGCACCCACGGTTAACAGTGTGGGGAGACACAGCATCTGTGTGTGTGTGTGTGTGTGTGTGTGTGTGTGTGTGTGTGTGGGATGAGCAGAGACAGATTCCTCGCTGACAGCAGGTGAGGCTGACACGCCGCTGAGGTGAAGCAGAGACACTCAGGTGTACACTTTGTTTGTGTATCCAGGTAACTAAAGACAAACAGCAGCAAACAGGAGTTCAGCGCAATGTGTTTATGGATGCCGATGTGACCTGGGTGTCACTGAAGAATGGAGTGACGGCATTAGAGATGAAGAGAGAGCGAGAGAGAGAGAAAGAGAGAGAGAGAGAGAGAGAGAGAGAGAGAAAGAGAGAGAGAGAGAGAGAGAGAGAGAGAGAGCTGGGTGTTCAGCTCGACACTCCACTCTAGTGGTGCAGTTATGATCAACACAGTGGATCCCTGCTGTGAATCATCTGAGATTCTGGTTAATATATAAATATGAAGTATCCAAGAAGCTGCTCAAACAATGCGCTTTAGAAAATCTCTGTTACTCTACTGAAGGGACGCACTCTGTTCAACTAAAAGATAAATCCTTATTTGGTCTTTTGACAGTGAAGCTACATAGAAAGGTCCGACACACGTGTCATGGAGTGTTGGAGCCAAATGATGTGTGTTTGTTTGTATTGCTGTGGTTAAATCCAGGTGAGGTGGGACAGGTGATTGAATGGAGGCAAACAGGGTTTTTTTTAACCGTGTCAGCCTGTCGGAGTTAAACGCATCCAACGCGGATTTGTTTGTTTATTTATAGACGTAGTGGTTCGTCATATTTTCCTTTATTTGATAAGAAGTGTTTAAAATAAATGGATTGAAATATCCAAATCAAATCATCAATGGACTGTGTTGATTTCTTCGAGCTAAGCACGCGTCCGAAAGCTTCCACATTCATCCCTCAAGTGACTTTTCCAAACAATATTGGATTTGTTCAAATTGGTCACTACATGGAGTATAAGTGAAATCCCAGTGGACACTTAAGGAACTGCAGATTTTTTACACACTGGCTCCATAAACACCCGACGCTGACGCTGCGTTCTGCTGTGTTATTTTTTCTCTTAGATATGATTGTGTACTCTACCTTTGGTTTCTGGAAGTCCGTTTTTCCCTTGGCGCTGCCGTTGAGCAGTCCATTCACGGGATTCCTCCGAGATAAAACCGCCCCGTCAGTTTGATCCTGGTCCATGATGCCGTCCTGATCCTGGTCTGACTGAGCATCGAGGCTGGTTGGACCTTTGTCTCTGCTCTCAGTTTCTGAATCTGTGCTGACTACCTCCACCTCGTCTGTTGGACACTTCTCCTCGGACGACATGCTCACACTGTGCTCGGACATCCCGGAGTCCGTCCGTTTCCTTGGCAACAGAGCGGTGATGTCTGAACCCCCGGAGCCTCTACGGGATCTGACGCCGGAATCCGAGACGTCTGAGCCCAGCCTCTGTCTGACGAAGGAGAGGGAGCCAACGCTTCGCTCCGACGCCCCTGAATCCAGCCGACCGCGTTGGAAGGGACTCTGGCTCCGGTCTGAAGCTCCAGAGTCCAGCCGGGCTCTGAACGAAGAGCCCAGACTCTTCTCTGAGACCAAGGGATCCAGATTGGACCTGGAGAGCACCGAGGTCGCGCTGCGGTCTGAAGCAGAGGAGTCAGACCTTTGACGATGAGACAGGACCAGGTCAGGCTCTGTGGTCATTGTTTCCCTCGGAGGCTGGATTAGCAGCGGTCCAGAGCTGTCATCCTTCACCAGGTGATCCAGAACCAGCACCATACCCGAGTTTGTGCCTGTGACAGAGGACACAAGAAAAAGTTAGAATTGCGGACCTTTTTTGCAGCTGAAACATGTTGCTCAACAAAATGTCTTCAAACTTTTACCCTCGGAAACATCTTTTAAGGACTCGTCAGGTTGAGTTCAAGCTGAACTTGGACTACAAACCTCCTGGATAAATTAATCGTGGGTTAATTCTTCAGGTCTAAAAAGTCCAGAAGAATCTCATCCCTGCAGGCTTTTAGTTTCACTTTGAAAGAGGGGTGTTAGGTTTTGTGAGTAAAAGGAAACAGGATGTGGTATAGTTTGAGTTGAAATATTAGAAATAAAACACTTTGGGGGCAGCGAGGCCCCGTGAGAGGCCGGGCTCACAAATCATTCTTTAGGATCACAGAAGGAGCCATGTGGAGACATGAGGGGATGTAGGCATTTCCTCCAGACTGGCCTCAGTTCCTGAGCAAGATTTGTGAGATTGTGTCAATGGATTTGCGTAAAAGAGAAGGAGTGGTCGTAACCAAAGAGACGGTGCACGAGGTGGTTAGTAAGTACAAGAAGCTAAGGAGGAAGTGAGTGTGAAATAGAGACAAGGAAAAACTACTTCCCCTCCTCTGTTCAGACCCCTTCAGTGTTCCTTCTCTCCTCAGGAAACCGCTCTCCAAACATCACAGCACTGCCCACATCCTCCCTCTGTGACTGTCTCTACCTCTAACTCCGTGCTGAAATATCAGATTTTGTGTGCAAACCACACCGGCTATCAGATTCCCACATGTCCATGTACACACCACGGCTTAGAAACACTTCAGTGTGACCTGTGTTTGCACCAACTCTGCGACCAAACAGGGTTGACCAAGTATGCACGCCTTTCAATTACAGACCAGATCAAAGAGGGACTCCGTTCTGAGCAGTGGCTGCAGGAAACTCTTTGAACTTTTGTCCAGATCCACTGGGACAATCCAACATTTTACACTTGGATATGATATTTGTAAAAATGTAACAACACTGAAACCAATGGCAAAAAAAAATCCTTGGGCCTCAATATTGAATCATTTCTTGTTTTCAATGGTCAAAAATTGTAGTCTCGCTCCTGCACAATGACTAAATTGCAAACAAAAACCGTTTGGTTACCATAACTTTACCAATGTTTTTGTGCAATAGTTGGCAGCACTTGGCATGTAGTATATTATTGACTTAGTCCTCTCCTTTGCACAAAATCTATTAAGTAGATTTGAAAGGTTTCAGTCGTTTTGAATATTATCAATCATCAGAATAAAACACGATAAAACATGTGGTATCGTAAAGTAAACTATCAAACATTTTGACCGCCTTCCTGGGACACCCACAGCTCTGTGAAGAACAGTTAGCCTCTTTATTGTGCAACACCTTCCTTAAATAGATAATCACTCATTTGTGCACAATCAGTTTATAAATAACTGCAAGTTGTTGATTAAACAGAGCAGCAGTTATGTAATACGCTCTGAATAGAAAACGTGATTATGACACTTAATTAAGAGAATTAATGGCGGCCCCTCTCTCACATGTGACACCATGATTGGTCCAGTGGTCAGCAGTGTCTGAATCTAATGATGCACTCATCCCAAACTCAATTACTGCTCCAGTGAAAGTGGACTGAGAGCCAGAATACACCATTTCTTCAACAAACTCTCACCATATTGTTCTTGTTTTCAGTATTGGAACGCTCTCATGTCCATTGTGTAGATACTTCTGGGAAAATCCCCCACTGGTGCTGGATAATGAGAGGCTTGCTTTTAGCTCTAAAATAGCTACAAAAGAAGCCACTTCGCTGCCAGCCAATTTTTAGAGCCTGAACAAAGACTGACCAGGGCTTTCTTTAAACTGGAAGCGGTGACCTGAGGAGAGCTCATGTTTGTAGTCACTGTGTGAAAGGGTCAATAGTAAACTGCTACTTCCCTCTTAAAGGGTGACACATGGTTCATGTTACCTCTGCTCCTGTGTATCAGGAATAAGGGGGGTATCACCAGGGAACTCACGATACGGTACAGTACCATATGATACTGTACGGTACCATACGATGCCTCTGATAACTATAATATCACAATACAGCAATTCTGAATACTTAATAGTTATTAATAACTGAGGAAAACAACTCAGCCACAGGTGTAGGAGACGTGAGTACCTTGAACAAGAGGAGTCAAGGACAGGCAGCGTCCTTTGATGTTCAAAAAATGTAAACCTGAATAATTTTTTTAATAATCGATTTAAATCGTCCCTTATTGGTTAGGATATTTAACGGCCTTCAAAAGGTACTGAACTGAACAAGCTGTAGCGATATTATTACACATATATTGATTTATTTCCAAAACTTGTTTTTATCCAGGTTGAAAAGATTATGTAATTATTTGTCTGTGTTTTTTATTGATATGGTTTGGCATGATATGGTATGTATAGTTTGATATGATATGGGATGGGATGGGATGGGATTAGAGGTATGGTATGGTTTGTGATGGGATGGGATGGTTTGTGATGGGATGGTATGGGATTAGAGGTATGATAAAGTTTGTGACCAGATGGTATAGGATTAGATGGAATGGTATGGTTTGTGATGGGATGGTATGTGATGGTATGGTTTGTGACGGGATGGTATGGGATGGTATGGGATTAGATGGGATGGTATGGTTTGTGATGGGATGGTTTGTGAAGGGATGGTATGGGATTAGATGGGATGGTAAAGTTTGTGATGGGATGGTATGGGATTAGATGGAATGGTATGGTTTGTGATGGGATGGTATGGTTTGTGATGGTATGGTTTGTGATGGTATGGTTTGTGATGGTATGGTTTGTGACGGGATGGTATGGGATTAGATGGGATGGTATGGTTTGTGATGGTATGGTTTGTGACGGGATGGTATGGGATTAGATGGGATGGTATGGTTTGTGATGGGATTAGATGGGATGGTGAAGTTTGTGACGGGATGGTATGGTATGGGATTAGATGGGATGGTATGGCTTGTGATGGGATGGTATGGGATGGTACGGTTTGGGATGGGATGGTATGGGATTAGATGGAATGGTATGGTTTGTGATGGTATGGTTTGTGATGGTATGGTATGGGATTAGATGGAATGGTATGGTTTGTGATGGGATGGTATGGTTTGTGATGGTATGGTTTGTGATGGTATGGTTTGTGACGGGATGGTATGGGATTAGATGGAATGGTATGGTTTGTGATGGGATGGTATGGTTTGTGATGGTATGGTTTGTGATGGTATGGTTTGTGACGGGATGGTATGGGATTAGATGGGATGGTATGGTTTGTGATGGGATTAGATGGGATGGTGAAGTTTGTGACGGGATGGTATGGTATGGGATTAGATGGGATGGTATGGCTTGTGATGGGATGGTATGGGATGGTACGGTTTGGGATGGGATGGTATGGGATTAGATGGAATGGTATGGTTTGTGATGGTATGGTTTGTGATGGTATGGTTTGTGACGGGATGGTATGGGATTAGATGGGATGGTATGGTTTGTGATGGGATTAGATGGGATGGTGAAGTTTGTGACGGGATGGTATGGGATTAGATGGGATGGTATGGTTTGTGATGGGATTAGATGGGATGGTATGGTTTGTGATGGGATGGTAAAGTTTGTGACGGGATGGTATGGTATGGGATTAGATGGGATGGTATGGCTTGTGATGGGATGGTATGGGATGGTACGGTTTGGGATGGGATGGTATGGGATTAGATGGGATGGTATGGGATTAGATGGGATGGTATGGGATTAGATGGGATGGTATGGTTTGTGATGGGATGGTATGGGATTAGATGGGATGGTATGGTTTGTGATGGGATGGTATGGGATTAGATGGGATGGTATGGGATGGTACGGTTTGGGATGGGATGGTACGGTGTTGTGTCAGGTTTTGGAAATTCTTCAGGTTTTTTAGACTGAAAAAGCAAAGATTTCAAAACAATGTCACCTCTTTGGTTGACCACGTTTTGCATCATGCTTCAGCTGCAAGCCGAGGTCTGATAGTAGGAATTTATTCATGACTAGTGGCCTGGTATTTCTGGCAACACAACAGATGCTCTAGTGCTCAGTCCTTCATTGGGTTTCTGAGTAAAATTTGCATCAGCGTTAAACTTAAAGTTCAGTACGTTTTTCTCTTTTGGGAACCAAAGAGGCACAGAGCACATTCCACTGAGAGTCTGCAAACATTTCATTTCCTAAATCACAGCCTTAGCAGTTACAGTTTGGACTATGAAGCAGAACAGCTGGACACATGATCATTGAGGTGCTGCTTGTAAATATGAGCTTTCTGTCTGAGAAGTAGAGGTATGTGTTTGTGTTGCATTCAAAGACCAAACAGAACTAGGCCAAATCAAGTCCAAATCTCTTATTCCTCTGTGATGCAAAGACACATCAGCCGGCCCACCCTGACTTCACATCTTTGTTGATATGTCTCCGCTTTAATAAGCGCCTTCTTTCTTTACTTTTCTATGGTGGTCTTTTTTTTTGTTGTTTACCCTAGCTTCACCCTGGTTTAAATTGTAAGGTAGGGATATATCAAGAACAGTGGGCAGTTTTCTCCGCCAAGCCCTCAGTTCTGTTCTGGTATCTGCTTTTTTTAGCAGAGGTGTGGCTGCTGGGTTTCCCTCTGTTGCTCCCCATAAGCCCACGGCCAAGCCCAGGTCCATAAGAGGGACACTCAGTCCAGGGCAGACCAGGCCACACAGAATGACTTTTTTTATTATGGATGTCAGCCTGAGGCTAAGCCGCTAAGGTTAGATCAGATGTGACCTGATGAAAAAGGTGAAAAGGGATAAAAAAAAAAAATCCTTTATATTGAATAAAAGACGAGTTCAATTTGGTGTCCTGTTTGAGGTAGATTGTACATTTTAAATTTTGTTCTTAAATATCAAAATCCGAAACACTCTTGGCGGGTTTATAACAACATTTATCCTCCACAATGCACTTTTGACATTTTACAAGCTATTCATCGTTGGCTCTGTGCCTGCAAAGCTTCAAGTGAAGGAAGTTCATTCATGACCTTCTGAAGGCTTTCATTCATACTTCTTAATTAACGCTCGGGCTAACAGAGGGTTTAATGAAATGTCCTCACACTTAAAAGGCCGGAGTCATTAATCCTTTGCCTGTGAGCGACTGAAACAGTTAATAAAAGTTAGATGAAGGAGCTTAAAGAGAGTATGACCTCCTGACCACCACCTCGGGAGAAAGGCTCCTTCAGCGGACTATTTTAACAGGCAGAGAGGAGGAAATTGCATCAAGGCGGACATATATGCATTCACATCCTTACACAACAGAGGTGATCAGTGTTGGCTTTTTGAGTTAGAACTGCCAACCCAAGCCTGACCTTAAAGTGAGTGTTTACTGTATACAAACAGATTTCAAGTATCAACAGCTCCTGAGGTGTGACGCTGCTGAACATATAGGAAGTGTTTGGAGCGTGCAGAGAAAATGAAGGACGAGAAACAGTTTTCACACATGCACAAAGCTCCTGACCGTTTCCTAAAATCTTTAGGTTAGGGTGCCTGGATGACTGCAAATGACTCACTTTTTTAAACCTGGTATTATCTGGATGTTTTCCTGCCAGACACGAGATAAATTTCCGTAAGAAGCCAGAGTGAGTGGATATGTAAAATGCAGCAGACAATCAGGAAAGTACACTATGAGCGAGCAGGCGGAGCTGATAACTTTTTTTTTTTTAAATCACGCAGCCAGTGTGTGACTGGTGAGATCTTTTCTGCATGAAATGACGCATTTTTGCATTTCCTTTTGGTTTCTGCTCATTTGTTAAAATTGTGAATAAATCCAATTCCACATAGCATTGATATGAAGACAAAACTGTCATCATTGCACTCCTCCCTCTGGCTCTGCATTCCTCTGTTACTACTACTGATGCAGCACGGGGGGGGGGGGGGGTCACTTTGTCCCCTCATTACACCTCAACGTTATTATGGAAATGTTCAGCAGTGCATGAGTAAAGGAGGCTTCATCTCCTCAGATCCGATCGGTAGTGGACGAGCATTACTCACCTTTTCTCTGCTGCTCTCTGCTTTGTTGCGTCTGCTGACCGTGTAACTCCAGGATCTGAGATCTGACTCGCTCTCGCTCACTGTGACTCTCACGCTCCGTCTCCTGGAACGACATAAGGAAAAGACGAGACTCACACATTGTATAATCATGTATCACTCCAAATGTATCATGTTATTTTCTTTTCAGACACACAGTGTTCTCAATTCAATTAGATATCCGATTAAACCTGAGAGAACAATCAGCCCTGTGATCATCTGTTTGAGGTCTGTCCCAACAAGTCTTTGGTTCGAGGCTGAGGTCAAATACTGAACACATGAGGAGCAACATGTTTGACCAGCTGGAAAAGTAAAGATCTGTTTTATTTTCCATTGGATATGTCTGAGAGAAGGAGACGCCTGAGTGCCAAAGACAACACACACAAAACGTAAATGCATGGCTCAATACTGTGTTAAATCTTTTCTCTACAGCCCACCAGCTGGTCTCTCCTACTCCTTAAAGATTACCTGCAGTCTGAGAGAAAAAAATAAAGCTCCTTCTGCAGTCTGATCCTGCACCGAAAGAGGAAAGTCTCAGCAGGAGGGAGATCTCAGACAGGAGTGTTTTTGGCATATGGAGAGGAAACAGGAGAGGTGAGGTGGGGAGGAAAGAAGGAGGAGAGGGGGGGAGGTGAAAAAGATGAAGATGCCAGTACTACTGTTGGGTCTCTGGAGGCTGACCTTGAGCTCCTCCACACGAGGATCAGCTGCACAAACAAGACTCCTCTGAGCACGTGTGCACACACCATCTTTAAATCACTCCTTCACATTTCATAATCCACAACGACTCGCAAACTTTACTATGAAAGGGCCAAGAATCTGGTTGTGCATCCATCAGTAGAATATTCAAATCATGCACATAATCCTTTTTTGATTTTCATAGTTTATATTTACAGAGCATTGAGATTTAAAAAAAAGCTTCCTCGTCTGCAATTTGGTGACTGCAAATAGCACGTTTAGAAACAATACAATCTGTTATTATTTGAATCCATTTCCACAAAGTCTCTCCACAGAGGCCTCACATATTTAAACCCACTTGGTCAAGAATAACAGACAATGCTTCAAACTAAATGTGACACTTTCTGTAACATAAATATCATTAACTATAGCATTAAATTCCTGTATCGTGTGGGGGCTTTTTGAACAGCCTCTCTTTTAAAAGTGGAATCTGGGTTAACAAAAGTCCTGCACAGTTTGGGTGGATCCTGTAAAAATATGCAGGACATGACCTTACAGGCTGAAGAAAATAATACATTGAGCAGATTTACAGGCTACTATTATTTCAAAAAGCTTCTGAAAACACATTTAGGAGCTTTCAAGCAAGACACAAACACACACACACCCAAGCACACAATCAGTTGTCCATGTGTAAACAATGCTGCCCTGCACAAGAGACGGGCGAAGCTGTCAGCAGTGACAAAGTCCTGCCAGTTTTTCTCAGCTTTGTGATTTTTAAATCAATGCCCGTGTGTGTGTGAGATCACCAGAGAGAGAAAGAGTCACTGTTGTGACCAAACACAAAGATAAAAACTAAAAGAGGGGTGGAGGTGAGAGAGGACGGGCGGCTGTGCTCGGCTGACTGTGACCTTCTCCACCTTGAGCAGATTACAGAGCGGAGCGGCTCCACTGAAGAAGAAGAAAATGTAATCAGAAACTACAGAAGGAGACGGCAGCACAGGACTGATAAGATGTTTAAAAAAGGAAATAAGATTGTATGTTTCAGGGTGAGGAGGGGGTCAAAGAAAAATCAATCTGTTAGAAAAACTCGACAACTTTATAGAGTCGTCACAATGACAGATTTTTTAAACTTTGATACGATTCAAGTAAAAATCAATCAGGAGAAAAATGGAGGTCAAAGGCACCAAATGTCGAACGAACGTTCTAGTTTTTAAATCACCAAAATTTGTAGCCACACTCAAACTGATTACACAAAAACAAATGATAAGCAGAAAAGAGCAGCCTCATGACGTGCTCCAATATCACACCAGTCAATCAGCATCACACCCTCACGCTCGCCAGAAGTTAATATTCCCTGCTGCCTTCACACACCGGCTCTCCTCCATGATTTTTGACCACGGGGGCTGGCAGGAAAATGTCTAGAAGAGTTGGGTTACTAAATGTGTCCCTTTGCGTTCGCACACGCAGCTCACCCTGAAAATGTTGAGAAACTCCCAGGAGGTCTGTGCATGTGTGGAAACTCTCACTGAAGTGCTTGTATCAAAAATGTATCATAAATCTTCTTTTTGTGTCATTAATGTTGTCATTATCTTAAAGATGATACTGTATAATTAGTTAGAAAGGGTGAATCATTTATATTCATTTGTGTGTGTTGGTGCGCAAATCACACTTCAGACCACCCCTCCAAAAGTCAGTGAGCCACTCCAGTCAAAAAGTCTAAACATGGGGCGCACTGGTGGCGGAGTGGTTAGGGCGCGCGTCCCATGTGTTGAGACTCTCGTCTCGAGCGGTAGGTCCGGGTTCGCTTCCACCCGAGGCCCCCTTCCCGCATGTCATTCCCCACTCTCTCTCCCTGGTTTCTGACTCTATCCACTGTCCTCTCTCTCCCTGGTTTCTGACTCTATCCACTGTCCTCTCTCTCCCTGGTTTCCGACTCTATCCACTGTCCTCTCTCTCCCTGGTTTCCGACTCCAGGTCCTCTCTCTCCCTGGTTTCTGACTCTATCCACTGTCCTCTCTCTCCCTGGTTTCAGACTCTATCCACTGTCCTCTCTCTCCCTGGTTTCAGACTCTATCCACTGTCCTCTCTCTCTCCCTGGTTTCAGACTCTATCCACTGTCCTCTCTCTCTCCCTGGTTTCTGACTCTATCCACTGTCCTCTCTCTCTCCCTGGTTTCCGACTCTATCCACTGTCCTCTCTCTCTCTGGTTTCAGACTCTATCCACTGTCCGCTCTCTCCCTGGTTTCAGACTCTATCCACTGTCCTCTCTCTCTCTGGTTTCCGACTCTATCCACTGTCCTCTCTCTCCCTGGTTTCCGACTCTATCCACTGTCCGCTCTCTCCCTGGTTTCCGACTCTATCCACTGTCCTCTCTCTCTCTGGTTTCCGACTCTATCCACTGTCCTCTCTCTCTCTCTGGTTTCAGACTCTATCCACTGTCCTCTCTCTCCCTGGTTTCTGACTCTATCCACTGTCCGCTCTCTCCCTGGTTTCCGACTCTATCCACTGTCCTCTCTCTCCCTGGTTTCTGACTCTATCCACTGTCCTCTCTCTCCCTGGTTTCAGACTCTATCCACTGTCCTCTCTCTCTCCCTGGTTTCCGACTCTATCCACTGTCCTCTCTCTCCCTGGTTTCCGACTCTATCCACTGTCCTCTCTCTCTCTGGTTTCCGACTCTATCCACTGTCCTCTCTCTCCCTGGTTTCTGACTCTATCCACTGTCCTCTCTCTGCATTAAAGGCACAAAAAGCCCAAAAATAAATCTTAAAAAAAAAAAAAAGTCTAAACATGCCTCTGATTTCAGTTACACAAAACTGTTTTTGATTCAGTCATTTCATCATTTTTTGTACGTTAATAACTTTGGTGTGTGTGTGTGTATGTGTATGTGTATCTGTGTGTGTGTGTGTGTGTGTGTCTCAGCACTGCTGTTGTTTTTTTTTGTGGAGTTGAGGGGTTTTGTGGTATCCGGAGGGCCCACGCCTCGCTGTGGTCACAACTGTGGACAGTTGTTTTTGTGTATACCGGGTTCTGCAATTATAGTCACACACACACACACACACACGCACACACACACACACACCCAGGGCTCCTGAGGCCAGATGAGTGGGACGGTGTCAGTTCCCTCTCCGTCAGGTCTTGAAGGCCTCTCAGACACGGAGCTCGGTGTCTGGCAGCAGGTCGGCGCTCTGCTCTGCGTCTCCACTTTTTCTCTTAATCTTCCCTTTTTTTTTTCTTCTTCTTCTTTTGCCTCAGTGTCTGTGAGAAATATGTGCCGTGTGGTTTGGTGGGAGCTGTGAAATGATGGCTGTCTGTCTGAAGCTGTCTGCAGGGAGGAGGGGGCGGGTGAGAAAAAGGCATCGTTCTCTCTAATTGTGTTTACGGCTCAAACGCAATTACCCCCCCCCCCGTGACTCTTTGATTGACTCCACTCACAACGAGCCTGACCTCGCTCTCTCTCGTCATTTCTTAACTCTTTTGTGTTGTTGCTGCACAAGAATGTGTCCTCGGAACTCATTAGACATGGTAATGACTCGTTGATTTTCTTGGACTGCTTTTTGTCGCTTGCAGTATTTTTTTCCTCGAGCTGTTTTCACACATGCACTCCAGAAATCTTCAAAACATGTCCATCACACTTTAAGATGTCACTGTCAGACAAGTGTGTGTGTGTGTTTGTGGGGGGGGGGGTCTAAGGAGGTAGGACATGACATTAGAGAGACGTGCAGAAATCCAGGATTGCAGAACTGAGTTTAAACACTGCTCTAATATCACCATCGCTCGCTCACAGTGGATTTCGCTGAATATAACCTGCTGTGTGCACACATTAGATCACCGTGCCTTCTTGTGGAAACTGTATTAGGAGGCTGGCAGGGAAAAAAAAAAAGCTGGTTAAACAATCCAGCTGTTTTAGTTCTTGCATGCATCGTGCACAGACTGCTTCAGTAAGGCCGGATCATTAGCGGGGTCTTCCATGCCTCCACGTGGACGAGAGGAGAAACCCTACTGCTCTTTCTTTCCATTACTTGCAGCCTGAGGAACCACAGCCTCGGCTCACCTCCAGAGCCTGAAATACAGGAGCTGGATGGAGGAGCAATCATCTCAGTCACACATGCACACACACACACACACACACACACACACACACTCAGTCTGAGGGAACCCACAGAAAACACTAAAGCCTTATTCCATTTTCTGTTACTCACTGCACATCATCACATTTCAATCTGAGCTTACACTCTCCGGTTTACTTTTTCTCAAACTCGAGAAGCTAAAACCTCTACCAAAGTTTGTTCTTGCAAAAAGTTTGTGAGGACATTAAAATACACTTTGTGTGTCTGGAGCTGCAACACCTCAAGAGCAAGATTCAATTTGTCTTTTCCACTTCCATATCAAACAATCAACAGACACAGGAGCGAGATGCCGTCCTCCTCAGATCAGGCAAACTTTAAAGACTGACACATGATTGAAAAAACAGAACACACCTCACAACCAAACAGTCTACCGGAGCTCTCCTGTCACACCGAGATTTGAAGTCTCAGAGGGAAACAAAGGCTTTAATTACTAAAAAATAAATAAACATGCTTTTAATGTGAAATGATTGCTTCTGATTTGATTTTAACGCCTGTAAGAAGTCATTTACCAGCGACAAGTTCTTGTTTTTTAATGACCAAAAATGTCAGGCAAAGTCCTGCACACTGTTTAAATTGCACAAATACACTGACAACATTTAGGTACAAGAACGTTGCCATCGGATTTGTGAAATTTAGACAGAGCTTTCTCTGTCTTTTTTTTTCTCTGGAAAAAGCTTTTGGTTAAAAATCTGACTTTTTTTTTTTTTTTTTTAAAGCTGATGTACTTTTTCGACACCACTGATTATCAAAAGTATGGAACATTTTGACGACCTTAATTATCATCATGAGGTATCGATCGTATTGACAGCGTTAAGTTAAAAATATGACTGAAGATCTGTCGTTTTTTTTAAGCTTCTGTTCCTTTTCGATACCTTTCAAACATTAACGAAACAAAGAATGGATCATTTGAAAACACACAGCATCAAAAAGAACCGAAGTGTCAAAGTGTATCACATCTTATGTCATTGATTGATCCATAGCTTAATCCTCATCCTCAGAGTTAAACTGTCAGATTGATGAAAAACAAATAAAGCCTGATGTAAACAAACCTTAAAGGTCAACAGAGAAGCAGGTACGTCCCATTCTTCAAAAAAAAAAAGAAAATTTTGAAGAGAGCAAGAGAGGAGCTGTGACACACGACAGGAGAAAACTCAGAATGACATTTACCTCCTGAACCGCCTCGCTCTCTCTCTCTCTCTCTCTCTCTCTCGGAGTCAGGACGTCCGCTATTCTGACGCTCTGCTCCCTCACACACACCACATTACACACACAACCACCAACAACACACACAGACACACACACACACACACACACACACACACACACACACACCCACACACACACACA